ATAATTTATTTCCCTTTTTTTTATTATTTCAATAACTTTTCCGTCACAGCATCCCAATGTACAGTAAAATATTCTGGATCAAATTGCGGTATAAAATACCGGCACTTGGGATGAATCATCTGTAAAATCCATTTCATTATAAAATCATTTTAACCGTAAAATTCTATACCATAGTTTTTTAGTGATATCTATTTCATTACAGTGATTCAGTGATTTTACAGTGCATAGTAACTGTTAATATTTTAGTGTATCACATTCTTTGTTCCTTAAAATTTTAGGATAGAAAGTTCTGCACCTTTTCACCGTAATTTCATCCAGTTATTTTTCACTGTGTGATTTCTTTCTTTTCCTTCTATATTTATTCCTGTCTTTGACTGAAATACTTAATCATAATTCAACATCAAGTAAAATGTATTAAAATATAATTCTAAAACACATTCTGGCACTTTTTTATTTTTTCTTATTCCCTTATGTTAAAAATCCAATTATCTGGAAAGAAAATATTTTCCTACACCAAAAAAAATATAATAAGAAAATGTATAAAGCTTTAACGATTTTTATACGTCTACGTTATCATCAACCTAAGACACTTTTCTTCATCCTATTTTTTAGGGTTAAGAAGTAATTATGAAAATAAAAACCTTATTCATTCGATATCATTTTTTGAGATTTTCTTTTGTCATATATTAAAAAAAATGGAGTTTTAAAGCTTAAGTAGGTTATTATTTGGCTACGTGATATAGTTGACCAAAATATCTCCTATTTTTTATTGTTCTATTTAATGAAAACAACTAGTTATATAATTATTAGTTGTAAGCGTTTCTTCCGTAATTTCTAAAAAATATAGATCATTTATAACTTTGCTGTGATATTTAAGCATCCGCTTTTAGAGAAAAAAAATGTTTGATACTGTTGGAAGGTAAACTAGCATTCATTTATAAATTTCCATATTCCATCAACAGATAGGAGCAGATCAGATAGCAACATAGTTGTTGTAGTTACCAAAAGAACCTTTTATTCTTAACTACTAAATTAAAAACATAAATGTAGCACAGAAAAAATATTGCGAAACAGAAAAACAAATAAAATTTTAATGTTTAATTTAACGAAAAAATATCACCTTGTGAGAAAAAACGCAAGAAAGTTCAACTAAAAAGAAGAAAAAAATGTTTTTCTGATTCTTTTAAAAAACAAAGAGAAGAGCGTGAACTACCAACACAATATGTCCTTTTTTAATTTTGTGCTTTTGCCAACCTGGTTAAATATGACTTCAACAGCAATTTAAATTATGTTCTTTGAAAATAATCGTCTGCTACTATGTCTTTGAATAAAATCGTCCGCAACTATGTCAATCTTCAACAATAGTATCAAGAAAAACCATATACTGTCACGATCTATCAGCTATTTGCAATTTACTTCAAAGAAAAATCCCATATGACATCATTTATCAAGAAAAGTATTTTCTCTTTCTTATTGAAAATTCCATCTCTTGTGCCATCTGTTATTAATATATATATTTAAAAAACATGAATTCCTTGTGTACTTTGATTAATATACGAAATGCCGGAATATACTCATTGTTTACTGTTACTTTCTATTTTATTGCGTGTTTTCTTTTATTGTTTTGCAAAATGCATACCTGCCAACTCTTCCGGATTTTATTTTCATATTTGAAGTGGTAGCAATACTCATGTTATTCCAATTAACTATTTNTTTTATAAACTTAATTTTCAAATAATTTTGATCACCACTATTCTTACAAAAATGAAGCACATATATTAATATGCGTTACTATCATGGTTGTCAACTTAAGTTTTTTTAAATGCAGCGTAATTGTTTGCTTAAAATTGAAGTTTTAATTCCATTTTAATACCACTTTAAAAAATGATAATGGAAGGGATTAAAAGTTGGCAGGTATGAAAATGTCTAATGAAAGAGCTTCAACCCATCATTTCAAATCAAGAATTTTAAAAGATGCTCCTGTCAAAGAAGGATTCGAGGAAGGGCACATAGTTGAAAAAGAACGGAAAAGTTCACAAAATATTACAAAAATCAAAGATCATACAAAATCTTGAATAATAAGTTCTGTTTATCAATTGAGGCTGAATTTATTAACAATGTCTTGTTATGTTACGTTATGTCTTGTTATATTTCACGAATAGATAAATATTTGATAATTCTTTAGACCTGTTTATTGTCCGTATCATTTCTTTGCCCATTAAATTATTTTTGCATAGATTTCACTGAAATTTTTAATCTCTGTAATTAATCAAAGGTAATTAGTCTAAAAGTAATTAGTCTAAGGTATTCAACCCCCTTTAAATACGAAGATTCGGCTTATTTCTCAAAACTCTTGAAAAATAATTTATGAAACGAAGAATTTAAGCAAAAAATGTTAACATAAGTTGATGAAAAAAATCACAAATTATCAAATAATATTGATTTCCAACTTTTATTATGTTTAAAAAATTTATAAATATTTTCGTGAAAATTGGATCGAAGTTCCAATGTTTTCACTATTATGAATCACATTGTCAGTGATAAGATTTACAACATAATTATTATTTTCAATTTCTATTTTGTTGAATTTTTCTGCACAATTTTAGTAATATGAATCCAAATCTTACTAAAAATAAGCAAAGGATTATGTAGATACAAATTTGTGTTTTTTATGTAAAATTTATTACAAATGTGTAATTTTTGTACATTGAATCAATAAAATAATATTGTAAATCAAAAGAGTTTCTTATACGTAAAAACTATCTTTATTTGAATTTAACTTTTGATCTTTGGTTGTTTGCTTGTGTTTTTTATGCAACGAATAGCAAATTAATCAAGCTGTATTTGTCTATGCTTTTGAATTAAAACCAGTTATACTAATATGTGAAAGAAACTGAAGTTTGATATCAAGTGAAAAAGCATTTATATATGTTGTTTTATATCTCTAACTAAGCATTCTGTCTTTATTCTCAGCATGATATTTATTCCTTGCAAATTCAATTACTATTATTTCTATACTATTACATAATTTTCTATGTGTTTTTTAAACAAATAGTTGTTTGCTAATTTCTAATTAATTGATGTATGTTTATTTAATTTTTAACTTCCTTGATTTCTAGCGTAGTACTTTATACTTAGTTCTTCAAACATAGTTCATATTTAAATATCTTTTTTTTTTCATTCATTGCAAATAAATATAACATTCCTTCATTTGCTTAATTCAAAAACAACAAAAAATGCGCTTGTTTCCAAAAGGTGGAAATTCGTTCTATTTATTAATAAAACTAAACCACTTGAAAAAGAGAGCAAATAATACCACATAAGACAATCATAGCTTTGATTCTGTAATATAAATCCTTCATCAGTATGCAGAAACAAAATGAAAGAAACATAGAGGAGATTAAATTTCCAATGTTCCTTTTTTAAAGGCTTTCTCGATCATAAACATTACAAATGCAATTTCCCGTAACTTTTTTTTCGCAAAAATTATATTTGATATTATTTTAGCTAAATTCTTACTCTTTTTAATTTTTCGGATTTCTTAATCATAACCACCATACAAGGTGTTTTGTAATTGACGCCTTCAATGTATATTTCTTTAAATTGTTGGGATTTGATTATCGACCATGTCAACCTTCATTTATCAAAAAGTACCTCATGATCGAATCAAGTTAACATGTCTTATATACTAGTGAATTGGTATTTAATATTTATAGTGGTAGTTACGCCACATTACTCCCCTTCCAGAATTTTATCTCTGATAGAATTCGATGAGCGGTTACCACTGGTTGATTCATGCTGTTTATTTATTTACATCAAATTTTGCTCATTATATTTTCTTTTCTTTCATTACTTTTAATAGCATTTCGCAAATTGTTTTTTCTTCATTTCTGTTTATAGCATTTCGCTCATTATTTTTTCTTTTTTCATTATTGTTTTTTGACCGGGAGATTTTATTTACTTCACAGGGTTTTCTTTTTCTTTGAGCAGTATATTTTTTTAAGCAATCAACTGTTGAATGTGGACCATTCATCAATGTTGACGTACATATCACGCCCACAGGTCACCATTAAGGGGATTTAATCATCGACTATGTCAACCTTCATCTACTAAAGGTACCTCTAGATAGAATCAAGTTAACATGTCTTTTACACTAGTGAATTGGTATTTAATATTTATAGTGGTAGTTACGCCACAGAATCATGTACACATTTAAGGATCATAAATTTCTATTCAAACGAGGAAAAAATAAAGTAGAGGAATCGAAATTTAAGAAAAACTACTACACAACCTGCGATACACAGCCGACCCAATTCTGAGTTAACGACTATCAATGTTCAACTCCGTAACCTTGTAATTTTGAACCCAATCTAGAAGACAAGGGAACTTTTGGATTAAACATCAGGATAAACTAGCCTTCGTGGAGGATTTTATGATGAAACTAAATCTCATTTTCGTGATAGTAGTGGAAAACCACGAAAACATCACCCGACGTTAAGGGGATTCTAAACCATGATCTGTCTACCACTGAGGATATTTTTAAGTCAGTACGGTGGATAGATCGAGCCGGTTGCAGAATTCGTACTAACCAGACATCTCCTGGATTCGAACTGGATCACTTTATTGGGAGGCAAACGGTCTATCCTCTGAGCCACTGCGGCTCGAAGAATAGCTATTAAAACTATCAAAATTGTTTTAACTGCAGAAAGAAACAGAGAAGAGTTGAAAAGTGATTATTCGAAACAACTCCAAGTATTATCGGGCATCCCTGTTTTTAAACATACAGTCTTCCTTACCAATGATTCGTAAGAGAAGATATTTTTAAATCGTCGGTACTATGATTGTATGCAATATAAAGACAACAACTCATTATTAATAAAATCGCCCATCACATTAAAATTTCTTCAAGACATATTAAGGCATATGTTTTACATTTTGCTGATAGTGTTTATTTAAGTTTCTAAAAAACTTTTGATTCTTGTGTATTTCTCTATTTTTAGATTATAATGGCAAATTTCCTTTTTCAAGAACAGCTGATATAAATAGAAATAAGTAGAATAAGTTAAAAATTGAGTGTCATTCGATGCAAAACAGCAGTGATGTGGGGGAAGGATTTTTTGGTCTCAGCAGTATTCACTGTCCAAATATTACTCGTCTTATTAAAGAATACTTGTCATCCATTTCTACGAATGAAAATATGACGCTTAATGACATTCAGTAAGTATTTTAAAAAAATTGTGCTTCTAAATTACACATTACTTAAAATATTTTATTTACATTTTAAAATTTACTTTTTTGCTTATAAATCCAACCAATCTGTAAATAAATGCTTCTAAAAAATAATTTTTAAAGCTTTAATATGAGTTTAAATTTGAAAATTCCGAAAGAAACTTTTTCTAGAATTAAGAAAATCCCATAGGAAACTTCTTAGAACTATTAAATTTGCCCCAAATAGTGTCTCAAAGTTTCCAAAAGAAACATTTCAGAACTATAAAATGAGCGTAAAAAACACGATGAAGTTTATACTCAAAAGCATTTTTAGAGCTATTAATTGCAAATGAAAATTTCTTTTAGGTCTAAAAATAAGAAGAAAAAAAAGTATCCTCAAAATTAATATACAAGCAATCTAGATGAGAAAAAGTTAATCAATTTGTTCACAGCGTTTTACTAATATCTTGGAATAATTATCTTGAAATATTAATTTATTGCCTTTGATAGGGTCATAAGAGCCATTGTATAGTAGCGCACTATTCATAAAAAATAGATTAAATGATGACAATTTAAGTATGCACTTTTATCCCCAGTTTGGCATAGGTTTTTAATATACTGTATGAACTTATACATCATTGACAATTGAAATTCTCATAGCAAAATTATAGGACTTTAACAGTTTAAGTATCTTCATATTCAGGTTCTTTTATATGAAGTTTAGATATATAATAAATTATTGTTTCAAAAACTTCAGGAGTTTTTTTATACTTCAGAAATAATGGATGAGTAAACTTTGAATAAATACCTTAGCTTACTTAGCAGTATTTAAATTTTTAAAAAATCGTTTTTCCTTGTTTTCATAAAATAAAAACTATATTAAGAACTGTTAAGAGAAATATTCAGCAGCTAAAACCCGTGCATAATGATTATCATATCTCTTATATACATAGTGATTGTACTTAAAGAATAAATTATTAAAGAATATAATAAAATATAATTTAACTTTCAAAAATTGTGAAAAAGAAACACTGATCAGAATGACCAGATATTTCAATTGAGTTCATACTTATGAATCGATGGGAATTTGTTTTGCATCAGTCGAAATCTAAAATGCTTAAAATAAAGAAAACTAAATAAAAATGATTTCAATAGAATTTTGCTCAGCAAATAGAATGAATTTTTATTCTGATACAATTGAAAAATTTTAAATAACAAATTTAATATCAAATCAATATAAGCAAACAGGAATTACGTGTTTAAAATATAAAAAAGAGCCGGAAGATAGTGAGGATAATTTTTGTAAAATTACCAAAAGTCTTTCTTATTTTGAATTTTTATTGACACTAGAGCATCATTCTATATTACGAATGAGCGCACAAGCTAATTTCAATGCATACTTTTTCTAATAATCTTTAAAAAGAGATGTTCATCCCCATGTCGTATCAACATTGAACTCATGGTAGTGTGTATAGTATGTGGGGATAGGGTATAAATGACAGAAAACTCATTTAATACTTCTATTGTCCCAAATCAATTGCCATATTTTAATACTTTTCTACTGTTATTGATACTGATGATTTTATTTGAGCATTTTTCAGAGTGGTATATTCAAAAACATTTACATACCAAGCATTCCTCGTTAAATCACTCTAATTTTGGAAAGTGGAATTCGAAATTTGAATCAGTCGAATCATTCTTTAAAAAATGGTTCTTTGAAATGTCAATTTACACAGAAAGTTAAATTAGCACTAAGGAGCTCAAATTTGCAACTGCTATCCTGACCAAACAATTGCGACCATATTTACCAAATTGCGGCTAGGCCGTGTTCTGAGGGTCAAGAATACAAATCTGTGGGCAAACAGGAATATTTCTTCAGAGAAAGCACATTGTGTCAGATTTCGTATTCTAAAATGTTTTCCGCACAATCTAAATCACCTCTTTAAGCTTGCTTAAAAATACGATCATTAAATCAAAAAAATTTTTACGCATTGTGTACTGAATTTCACCACTGCAAAAATTCCAGATAAAATTACGATATAAAATACGATCACTTTCAGGGCATCATTTGTGAGATCTCATTCACCGTAAAATCCAAAAATATTACACTGTAGTTTTTACAGCAATATTTATTTCATGAGAGTAATTCAGTGGTTTTACAGTAACTATTACTGTAAAAAGTAATGTATATCAGATTTTTAGTTCCTTAATACGTTACGGTCAAATTTATTTTTACGGTAAACATACCGGTACCCTAAGTGCCGGTACTTTTTACACTAATTTGATCCGAAATTCTTTGAATTGTATGTCTGTATTATGCTTTTGTGTACACGCCTTTCACAAGCGTATTATTCCTCTTGCAGATCCAAAACTGTTCCCCCAGATCCAGCTGTTCAGATGGCAGAGGAAGTAGCTCAGCGAAATGCTGTTATTTACATTGTTGTTGTATTATTCTTTTATTCCTTTGGCATTGGTATTATGATGATCAAGTATATGCGAAAAGAAGCTGAAGAGCAAGAAGAGTTCAAGATGTACAGACGCTATATGCACGATACTCATGATAACCCTATGAACTCTACGAATACAGCCAGATTGGCGAACAGATTGGCACTTTCAGCGCTAAATATGGTTAACGCCATTCCTCAAACAAGCCAAAGTGGGAGCAAAGTAACATTTGTGTGATGGTCATAATGTATTCGCTTAAATAAGTTGGCAAAGGGAAAAATGTTGGGGCATGGACTCATTTCCGTGAATATGTATTTTGTACGAAGTAAATTATTAAATTAAGCTGTTTGCATTTAATTTGCAAGTTCCAAAGAAGTTTGGGTATTTTTATAAAATGTTGTTTCATAGATATATAGAAACAGTTCTTCCGTTAATATTTTTTATTGGGTTGCCAGGATAAGTATAAAAATTTTCGGTATATGAAATTTGGATATTATAAAAAAATGTTATATAATTTGGAAATTTGGATAAAATTTAACGATTTCTTCATCCTTGAAGTTGAATACTTCATGTATTAAACTCTTTAAGTTTATAATTTGCCAGTAGAAATATACTTTCTCGCCTACCCCAAAGGCCAGCATGACTCTAATTCAACTTTTTAGTTAAAACATTAAAAAAAAAAAAGAAATATTAGAAAACAGACCAAATAAATGCTTACAGACAAAAGTATAAAGTATGAAAGAAATTTAAATACTTTGAAGGTTTAAGAAAAATGTTTTTAAAAAAGCATTTTTTTCGAAGATCTGAAAGGAAAAGTTATTTCCAAATCCAAAAGTAATTCTTCTCAATCTCAAGTAATTCTTCTGTTGCCCTCTAGGTTTGTTTCAATTATGAAGTTGTAAATTATTTTGATAATTTCAATCAATGAAATCTTGATTTGTGATCGACTTAAAATATCAATCAAGGCTTGTTGGGTATCGTTCATTAGAACAGACCGCAGATGCCACAACTTGGAGCGTATGATCCAAATAGTTAGGTCTGGAGAATCGTTGAAAGTTTAGGCCCTTTAATGTTATTTTTTCCTTTAATGTACTTTCCCACATCTCATGAAATTTTTTAAGTGAATTTAAAAAAATTTCTGACAACTATAAAAGACGCTTATTAAAAGCATTTTTTATAGTTATTTATTAGCTTTTATAATTTTATTCAATAATGGTCGAAAGCATTTTGAATTGTAAGGTATACAAATTTTTACATCATTTTGAAGAATATTATTTAAAAAGGCAAAATACAAAATGTGAACGAAATTGGTTTGAATAGTTTCTGAGTTAGAATTTCAAAAGAGTCGAATATTTAAAGAATTTCCCAAGGGGTATCTTGCAGCCAATTCTAGGCAGCCTGTAATATATTATGTTAAAAATCTTTTATATTTAATGGTTCTTTCGTTTGAAAAGTTTCGAATTAGGGGATGTTTCAAGATTCATATATTTTAAGTTCAAAATTTTAATAATAAATTTAAGTTTAATTTTTTTTTCAAAGGATTGAAACATTTTAAAAATATTTATGCATCTTTTTTTTACCATAAAATGTACACAGTACAGTTCTTGATGTTGCTGCATGCAAAAATATTGAAGTGCGGTTTACAATTCCGAAGATTTTAATTTCTTAAATTATGAAAGGGCATTTTTTAAATTTCTCAATATTTCAAGTCATGACCACTTTTTTTATAGTGTTTCTTTCTCTCGTGTTTAAAATGTGTTATAATCATCTTTTTTTACATTTTTCATAACATTCAAAGATAGACTTGTATTTTGTTACTAAACCTTAACTATAAAATTAAAGTTAATATATTTATTGCAAACAGTTATACCATTTAAAATTCTTTGAAGTGCTCCCATTACAAAAAAATGCATAAAAATAAATTTAAAATTATTTTATGTATTAATTAAACTTGGTTAAGTTCTACTATGGATATTTTAATAAATGTTTATACATCAAACTCCAATGCGTATTAATGGAATCAAACCTCAATTAATTAAATACCTTAATAAATTCTATTAAAATTTTTTTCAATTTTGTGTAACAATCTGTTTATTATCAATTATCAAAAAATGATTGCATTGCAATCTTTCGTGTTTTCGTGCAAAGCGATATAAGGGGCAGAGCTTCCTAGAAATATATTTTCAACAAAAAAAAAACATGTGCTATTATAACAAACAAACCTAATTCTGTACCATTGAAAAAAGTGTATTAAATAATGATTGAAGTTAATAAAAATGTTAAGAAATATTGCTCTTGTGTTTTTGTGTTATGCATAAGTATACTTATTGAGTTCTATTAGTACGTACAGTGTCTTGGTAGAGAAAAGTATTACGTGCAGGAGGAACGTTAATAAATTCTTTTTCCATTGCAACAAACTTCTTCAAAGGATGGATACTGTTTATTCACAGTGTTGTTAAGTTGAATGTATAGTGCGCCAAAAAAAGAAAAATAGAAAAAACAGACCACTCTGAATAATTTTTGACTTAATAATCGGATCTTCACTTAGAACTCAATCTTAATGGATCGAGGGGGCAACCTCAAATATACTAATTAATTAGAGCATATTTTAAGTTTTAAAATCAGACTCAAAAACGTACTTTCTCTGAATAAACATGGCTTTTTTTTCTACGGATTCGAATGGTTAGACACCTAAAATGAAGTAGGTAGCAGTTAGGAAATATTGTCCCAATAGGATAGCCAGGAGATTGGTTCAAAGTTCTTACCCCTTAATGTTAATTTTATTTTTTGCGCATTTAAATCGTTTATCTCGAGAGCTATCTAAGCAAATTTAAAAAAAATTTGCAAATAATTATAAAATTCGTTTATCCAAAGATAATTCTATGCAGAATATAACTTTTAGTAAGTTTTTATTATGTTTTATTTAATAATAGTAAAAAAAAATTTTTGAATTGTAAGGTAAGCAATTTTTATATTATTTTAAAGAATGTAAGTTTATATTTCCCAATACAAAATTTGAACAAAATTGGTTAAATGGTTCTTGAGATATTAAATTTTAAAAATACGATTTTGTTAAAACTACTAGAACTCTTTAACCGATTTCGCTCAAATTTTGTTTTTTGCAATAAAAAATTACATTCTTTAAATTTATTTAAAATTGTATATCTTATAATTCAATTTACTATTCTGAAATAAAATGATAAAAATTTACTAAGGGTTATATTTTGCATGGAATTATCTTTGGATAAATTAATTTTATAATTGTTTTTCAAATATTTCCAATTTCTCTAAAAATTTCTCCAGAGATAGTGAAATAAACAAAAAGTAAAATTAACATTAAGGTGTCCAAGCTTTTGACCGCCTTCCTGACTAATCTCTTAGGACCATATTTCCCAGATTGCGGCTGTTCCCCATATTTTGGAGATCAGAAATCCGCATCTGTCGAAAAGCGGTATGTTTATTCATATAAAACACGTTATTGTATCTGATTTCGCAACATAAAATATTATCTCCACTAATTAGTTAGCACATTTGAGGTCATTCCCTCGAACCATTAAAATCGAGTCCTAGAACACGAAGATCCGATCATCAGATCAAAAGTTATTCTTCAGGGTAGTCTGTTTGTTTTTTTTCTCATAGTACACAAATTTAAAACCACAAAAAATGCAATAGATGTAATTAAAGATGTGGTGATAATTGTTTAGGATCAATTATTACCATTGACAGCAGAATTACTCCTGAAGTAAAAAACCGACTCTATTTGGCGAATAGGGCTGTCTACGGGCAGAGAAGATTTATTAAATCTAGGTTTCTTTCTAGAAAAACAAAGTTCTTAATCTACAAAACTCTTGTCCGGGCAGTCTTGACATACGCTTCTGAAGCTTGGACAATGACAAAATTGGAGAAAAATTGTATCGCAACATTTGAGAGAAAGATTTTGCGGGGTGGGTATATTTGGTGATGTAGATGAAAACAATAACTGGAGAAGGAGATTTAACTTTGAACTGTACAAGATTTATAAACAACCTGATATTATTAAGTACATATAAATAAATAGAATGAATTGGATCACCCACGTGATTCGAATGAGTGACGACAACACAATAAAAGAAATACTGTTTTTTAGACCCACTGGAAGAAGAAAGCGGGGAAGGCCGCGGTTGAGATGGGCTGACTCAGTGGAGTCTGATTTTCTCGTAATTAATGGAAAAAATTGGAGATCAAAGATAAATCGGAAGTCGTCATGGAGAAATCTTCAGAGGAAGGCATTGGCTCACATTGGGCTGTCTGGCCAACAATGATGATGATGGTGATAATTATGTTCTCATAAGCGTAGATAATTAACTTCAGCGTTGCGTAAATTCCATTCTATATCTTTCACTGTTTTGATTCGATATCGTTTTCTTTTTTTTTTTTTTTAATTACGAAATGTGGTGTTTCTTTTTAAGTCGGCTGTTAATTTATATTTAATTCAGTAAAGAGATTTGAATAAAATATTATATTTAACAAATGTCAAGATCTTTAAAAACTTGTTTAATTGTGGTTACTTATCTGTTGTTTTTTTTTTTAATTTTAGTTTTTTGTTTATTTATTTAATAATTGATACAATTTCAATAATATATATATGCATGCCTGATTTGGAATAATATATTTATCACTTTCCTCAATATATATTTTATAATTATTAAGCAGTAACAACTTAAATGAAGATATAAGTTTTGTGAAAGATATTGTTTTATTTTCTTGAACCAAACTCTTGTGACATCAACAATGATTGATTATCTGAAACAGTATTGTTTTAAAATTGACACCAAAGAGTATGAAGATGCCGAACATATAGAGCTGTCGAATACGTAGCCAAAGTTTTTAAGGGTTTTAAAATATCTCAGTATCTCATATATCGTCTTCACAACATTATTTTAAAATTTAAATCTCGAAATTATTTATTAATGAACAAAAATATATTCATTTATTTTTTTAGTGTTTCTTATTTGTTTGATTTGTGAAAAGTAAATACAAATTAGTTCAACTCAAAAAAATACAACTCTGTTTGCTTTGTTTTTTAAATGAATAAATTCGGATCACAATTTTATTTTGACTTTTCATTTATGTTCAACTGCTAACTTTAAGAAGGCTGCTCTTTTAAGAAAAGATGATGCTCGAAAAAATTGTCTAAACATTCTTTATAAAATTAATTTTCAACTTTGGCACGTTGGAAATTGGTAGCGAATTTTTTTATCAGGAAATTGCTTTATTTTGTTAAAAAGCAAATGGTAAAAATTCAAATTTGTAAGCGAAAGTCGTGCTATTTTTAATAATCATCACCCTAAAAATCTCTAAATTTGGTTTTTTTCCCCTGCTGAAATAGGATAGATTATTGCATTTTTGGATTGCAAGTTATTTCAGATATTTGTTTTTTACCCTTTCGTGGCGTATCTCTTAAATTTCGAGTGTAAAGTAGAAGTAACAAAATTTGCGCAACCTTCTATTTCCATGGGGATGCATTTTTCTAGTCTATTTAACTGCGCAACCCGCTCTTTTCCTTTCATGGTTTCATTTCGGGATTCTGTGACGTTAAATTCTTTATCCAAGATATTATCTAAGATAGCACATTCATTTGAATGGTCGGATCTTCAGGAAAGAGGGCACAACTTGCTTCAGCAAAATTAATAATAAATAAAATTTTAAAAAAAGACATGGTCACTTTTCAATTACTATGCTTTACCAAGCAAATGCGAGGGTTGCTATTTATATTTCTAGCCTAATAATGAAAA